CCATGTGCCTGGCAGGCGTGCCACCCAAAAGGGAACTCATTGGAGACTCGCGCCGGGAGGTGATGATTGAAACCACCCACAGCTTTAAAAACATATATGGCAGGACTCCTGTAAGAACCAAGGAAAAACCAGCAGCTGCGCAGTTGGTTTGCTTCTTTCCATGAACCCCACCCCTTGTCAGACCAGACATCCCGTGCTCTGTGTAGGGCTCTTTTGCATTCCTTTGCCATGGCTCAAAAATTTGCAAACCCTTGCGGCCCTATAGGCAACAACCAAAATAAAGCGGCATGTTTAGAACTACCCGAAAAGAAACATGGTGATTCTTACAGCTACTAAGCAATAGGGTGATGTTTGGAACAAATTTCTGGGAACCCCGGATGAACTAACCCATCGCACTAGCGGTCTCACTCACAAAGGTGATTCGGAATCAGCCACCAAACTGGGACATCCCCCCCATGAATCAACCAAGGGTTCGTTTCTCCACGGTTCACATGGGCGTTTCTGTAGGGGAACCCATTTTGGCCAAAAAACAAAAACAGAGAACAAAAAGCGGCTGTTGGAACCCATTTTGCCCCCCCCCCCCCCGAAAAAAAAAAAAAAAAAAAAAAAAAAAAAAAAAAAAAAAAAAAAAAAAAAAAAAAAAAAAAAGTGGCTGCTCTCCCCGCCAAGAAGCCCACCTCGGCAGCGGAACCGGGCCCCAACGATTGTCCGAGGCACCCCGGGCGGCTGCGCCGTAGCCGTGGGCTGTGGCATGGCCGCTTTTGGCCAGGCGAGCGGACAGGCGCTGCAGGGACGCCCGCCAGCCTGTTTTTTGTGTTGTTTTTTTTCGCCCAGGTTGAGGATGGCTCAATGTTGGCCGAGTCGGTATCCCTGGTTTCTTTTCAGAAAACACCGCAAATACTGGACTTCAGACAAAACCAGTATTTCTATATATATATATATATCTGAAAATATATATGTGTGTGTGTGTTTGGAACAAAGGTGGGTTCCATTTGTTCCCCTCATGCCAACCCAAAGAGGGTCCAACATTTTGCGAAACTCCCATAACACTTGTACACTTCATAGCTACCACGAGTTGAAAGTGAAGCGGTTGGGGCACATCTCCAAGAAGGGCACCTAGTACCCTTGAGCCAGGGCCCAACCGAAGGTCACTCTGGGAGTTGATCCCCAATTCTTGTCAGCCATCATCCATCGTTATTTTCAAAAACCGGCTCGTTTCACTGGCTTCTTGGTCATGTCGACGGATCTGTGGGTTCAGAATGGGGGAGCTATACGCGTTCTGCAAAAGAAAGCAAAAGCGAACAGGGTTCCAACGCCACTCCCAACCTGCACACATCACCCAACAATCAAACCCAGAATCAAAAGGTGATGCGTCGCCTCATCAAATTGACTCGCAAAGGCACCCCCAACCGTAAAGTCTCAATGTCTTCCCAAAAGTTTGGGCTGCTGCAGCCCCCACCAAAAACAGGTTTCATGGATGGGCAGGCTAGATTTAGATTTGTCCTTCGGACTCTTCGGGTTCTTGAGGATGGAGTAACCCAAAATGGGTACCAACCCAAAAAAAACATCCCACATACCAAGAACATGAATGGTCGCTGGCTGTTGCAACAACCCACATCATACCAAAAACGATCAAGCAACATCAGCAGCAGAAGCAGCCGCAGCATCAGCAGCAGCGGCAGCAACCACAGCCACAACCGCAACCGCAACCGCAACCACAGCCACAATCAGAACCAGAACCAGAACCAGAACCACAACCGCAACAGCAACAACAACAACAACAACAACAACAACAACAACAACAACAACAACAACAACAACAACAACAACAACAACAACAACAACAACACCAAAAGCAGCAGCAGCAGCAGCAGCAGCAGCAGCAGCAGCAGCAGCAGCAGCAGCAACAGCAACAGCAACAGCAACAGCACCAGCACCAGCACCAGCAACAACAGAAACAACAGAAACAACAGAAACAACCACAGCCGCAGCCGCAGCCGCAGCCGCAGCCGCAACCACAACCACAACAACAACCACAACCACAACCACAACCACAACAACAACAACAACAACAACAACAACAACAACAACAACAACAACAACAACAACAACAACCACAACCACAACCACAACCACAACAACAACCACAACCACAACCACAACCACAATTACAACCACAACCACAACAACAACAACCAAAAAAAACAAAAAAGAAAAACAGCAACAGCAACAGCAACAGCAGCAGCAGCAACAACCACAACCACCACCACCACCACCACCACCACCACCACCACAACCACAACCACAACCACAACCACAACCACAACCACAACCACAACCACATCAACATCAACATCAACATCAACAACAACAACAACAACAACAACAACAACAACAACAACAACAACAACAACAACAACCGCAAACGCAACCGCAACTTCAATCGCAACCGCAACCGCAACCGCACCCGCAACCAACCGCAACCGTAACCGCAACCGCA